GGGGAGTGGAGGAGAAGGGATTGCAGCATGGTCATCCCTCCTGGGGGGTGATTTTTCGCTTTCTGTCTCTTTCTGTCTTTCTGGCGAGCACATGCACTCTGTAGGAAAAAACCTCTCAAAAAAAAAAAAAAAAAAACAAAACAAAAAAACCCAAACCCTGAGATGGCTGGCCTGCCCATCCTCTTCTGCCAAACTCCAGCATTTTAATTGTTGCTTTTTTCATGTATTTTGTTACAGTTTAACATTCACCACTCTGGAGAAACTAACAGTGATCATACCTTGTATTGTTCATCACCTAATAGATCACTGTTTATTCATCATTATGGTGTCTGGATTAGGTACATTACATTTGTCCTTCTGATGATAAAATGCTTATAACTTTTGGATTTGAATATTAGGTGACTGTTATCTAAAACACACACGTAGGGACCAGCAGATGGCGTAACGATTTAGTTGCTGGGCTCCCACATGACTGACCATGGTGTGAGTCATGCTAGGTGTGTGTGCGTGCATGCCCAAAATCCCAAGAGAGATGGAGGAGAAAGGATTGTGGTGTAGCCATTCCCCCGGTGGGTGAGCACATAGGCCTTATAGCAAAAAACTCTAAAAAAAAGATAATAAAATACAATAAAACACACAGCTGATTGGGCCAGGTCTATGGTCTGGTGGTTAAGACAGCTGGGTCCCACATGGCTGGCTGCGTGGTTGGAGTCCTGGACCTGGTGGGTTGAGGAACACCTCTGGTACATCTGTGCCCAAAATCCCAGAAAGAGGGAAAAATGAAGGAGAAGGGATTACAGTGTGATCATTCCTCAAGGGTCAGTGTGCTTTTTCCTCTCTCTCTGTCCTGCCTGTCTTTCTCTGGTGAGCAAAGGGGCCCTCTAGAGAAAAAAAAAATCAAACACATCTGTGGGTTGGCTTTATAGGGCAGTGCTTAAGTGTTGTGCATACGAAGCAGGATCCTACATGGCCAACCGCAGTTCAAATTCCCACTCCAGCAACTTAAAAGACCCAGTGAGCATATGTACACACCCCAAATCCTGACAGGATGGAGAAATGGAAAAAAGAGCATTGCAGCGTGTCAACACCCATTGAAGGATTTTTCTATCCCGTGTGCTCTCTCTCTCTCAAGTGACTGCATTCACCCATTGGCAATTAAAACAAGAAAATGAAAAGACACACACACACTTGAATGTTTGCTTGCCCTGCACGTTTATCGATTATTAAATCTCATAAAATCCTTTTTTTTTTTTTCATATGACTGAGTCTGTTTCTACTTTCTATTTAAGCAGAGGAATCCCTCTGACAGGAAAATCACTGGTTGGGAGCAATATCCGTCCCCGTACCTACAAGGCAGGATAAACCATCATGTGCTTTTGCAGCATCGCACAGAGGGTTGGACCTCAGGAATCTCCTTTGGGAGAATCCCTCCAATGGGCCACAGCTTCGAGGGTGACACATTTCTATTCATCCCTGAGTGATGAAACTGTAACCACATTTTTCCTCACACTGAGTCTCTGTCACTTTGGTAGCTATTTGTTTCTCTTTGCCCTTCTAAAAGTTCTCCTGATAGCTTAATTTTTTTTTAAATAAATGTGTGTGTATGTGTGTGTGTGTGTGTGTATAAGATTTTTGCTCTAGGGCTCGTGACAGAGAGTGATAGAGAAAGAGAAGCAAAGTGGAAAGTCACTCACTCCTCAGGGGGATGGCCACGTTGCAGTCCTTTCTCCTAAGTCTAGTTTCAGAATCTGGGGCACAAATACATATGTGCCTGGTGTAATTTTTAAGACACTGTGTCTGGGATTTGAACTGCCATGTGGGACCTAGTTGCCTTAACCTCCATGTCACCAGTGGCCCTCTTTTATTTTGTTGGAGAAAGACAGAGAGAGACACTGAGAGACAGAGAGGGAAAGTGAGAAACCACCCACCCCAGGGTGGATGGCCATGTCACAATCCCTTCTCCTCCATTCTTCTTCTGGGATGTTGAACGTGCGCACGCATGTGTGCATTGCACATCTGGCATGATTTTCAAGCCGCCAGGTCTGGGACTTGAATCTTGGTTGGCCATGTGGGAGTCCAGCACCATGACCACTTTGCCCCCTGCTAGTCCCTATAAAAAATATTTTAATAATTCAACTAGTCAATGAATGTTTTGGAAAATTAAATTTAGACATGTGGTGTTGGTTTAAGAAAAAAAAGGGATATGGGGCCACCCCATGGCATGGCGGTTAAGGCAGCTGGATCCCACGTGGATAACTGTGCAGTTCCAGTCCTAGCCTAGACACGAGAAACACGCCAGGTGTGTGTACGCTCATGCCCAAAATCTTGAAAGGAGGGGGGAGGTGAAGGAAAAGGAATTGTGGTGTGACTATTTCCCATGTGGGGATGGTGGTAGGGTGGTTGTGCTTTCTCACTTTTCCCCTTTTTCTCTGTCTCTCTCTCCAGTGACTGCATATGCCCTTTGGCAAATTAAGAAAAAGCGGTGGGGTATGGAATGAGGGTTTCAGAATCCAGGTTTTTGGAATCCTGCAATAACTTGGAAATAGACTTTTCAAGTTCAAGAAATCTTGGTGAAATGTATCGTTGTCATGCTAAATGGTTTGTCCTAAGAAATCCTGGGTATGAATGACTTTTCCTTTAGCTCTGAAGTACACGGCAGAATGACTTTAGGATTGCTGTGGGAAAATGAAGCAAAGCCACGGTCAGAATAATGTGCTGAGAAAAATCTCATAAGTTGTTGAAACTATCCCATGCCATGTTGATTGCTATCAATTTTATAAAGTGTTAATAGAAAACACGTGTCTGCTGAACTGATTACTTGACAAATTGATTGCTTCTGGGAGGGCTTGTTGAGGCTGCCAGTCACCCTTACACAGACCTGTTTACTGATTGTTTCTGGGCCCCTGGCTGGGTGAGGTGTCCTTGGGGCAGATCCAGTTGGCCACAGACTACCAGGGAAGTGTCCTACTATGACCACATGGCTGCAGTTTTCTCCAGCCAGATGGGAAACAGTGTGTAATTCAACACCTTCTCGGCTTGTTCAAAAGGCAATCTGTCCTAATTGGATGTTACCCAAAAGCAGGTCAGAAATCACCCAGGCAAGCAAAAGGAGTCACTCACGATGATCCAGGATAAAAATAACCGGTCAATTTTATATAGTTACTCAGCTAATCTGTGGCTCGTCTAAGTCAATTGATTTTTCTCTATTTGTTCCAATATTTCCTGGCATGCAGACAAAATTTTTTATTTCCCAATGTTGACCAAGGTCTAGAATATAAGGAAATGACCTCTAAGAGGAAAAAAAACAAAAACAAAAACAAAAGCAGTTCAGGAAATCTGGTAAACAGGATCATTGTGAAGGCAGAATAACAAAAATCTAATTTCATGAGCAATAGAATTGATGGCCTTTGCATCTAGGCTTGGTGTCCGTTTAGTATGTCAGTTCACCTCCTGCATATACTGATTTTCTGCCTCGTGCAACAAGTGAATTTGCGGTATAGATGCTCCCTTTCTTGGTCTCTTCCTGAATCTCTATCAACTGCTATCATGTGACATTTTTATTGATGCTCATTCTATTGAAATGAATGGCTCCACAAAGATTAGTTTGGTTGATGTTAAATGTTGTTCTGTGTTGGGGTCATCAGATGACATGGTGGTTAAAGCTCTAGACTCCCAATGGCCAACTATGGTTCAAGTCCCAGACCTGACAGCTTGCTTTCTCGCTTTCTGTCTCTCTCTTTGTTGAGTGTGTGTGTCTTGTGGCGAAATAATAATAATAATTAAAGTTAAATAAATTATTCTTTAAAACCTGTTCAGATGCAGCTGAGAAATATGTTCTGTGAACACAGAAATGAGTGATTTGTAGGCTATCTAGCCATGTCCCCACAAACGAGGCTGTTTAGCATTGCTCCTATATAAGGCCTTTGATTGAAACACAAGGCATGAGAAACATTTGTACATAAGATTAGATACAGCTTAGAATTTTTTCTTTGTGTATTCTTTAGTTGGGATCAGCAGATACAGGGATGTGATGATAAAATACTGTATCCTGATTTACTCATAAAGGAGATGAATGTGTAAGACTGCTATGTCAATATCTTTTCACTGAGGGCTTCCGAAGCTTGTGCTGTAGAGGAGTCATTAATGCTTACCTCCTGCCTAAAGCAGACCACAGGCACTCTGATTATGAGAGAAGTACTGAGGTGCAGAGATCAATACATCATGAACAGGCCACCTAGCTGACTCGTGACACTTATAGCTCATATTTTCTGCTCTCTTGACTCTGAATTCTTTAATCTTTTACTTTCTGTTTTTCACTAACTTTCTTAATATCCTTTTTCCTCCACAAAGGAAGCCACTGGTCAGCCTCTTTATTTCTATGCAAATGCAAAAACTCAAAACAAAACAACAGCAAATGCAAAGCAACCAAATAAAAGCCTCTTTATTTTTTTATTAAATAATTACTTTATTTAACTTTGTTTATTTATTTACTTTTTTTTTTTAATTTGACCAGAGAGAGCAAGAAAGAGAGAGAGAAAGCAAGCCACCAGGTCCGGGACTCAAACTGTGGCCAGCCATGTGTGAGTCCAGTGCCCTTAAGCACTGTGCCACCTGCTGGCCCTTATTTGTACCTTTTGAATATTGTGAATATGTGATATTATGCTTCTATAAACATTTGTGTTCAAGTTTTTCTTTGAACACGTGTTTTCAATTCTTTTGGGTCTGTACCTACGCAAACAGAACTGGATCCAACTTTCTGAGGAAGTACCTCATTCTCTGAAACTCCCTCTGCTCGATAGCATGAGATGAACTACTCCTTGTAACATTCATATTTGCGGTAATATCTGGATTAACTGATGAATATCTGCTAGTCGTCAAGTCTAACATTCTGTTAATCAGCACTACAATAGTAGATCTAATGTTACAAAATAGTGAACTTTAAATGAAGAAAACCGTATGATATTGATTTAATATTTATTTCTCTGTTTTAATTAATTTAGTCAATGCACTGGGCTGTCAAAAGTAAAAAAGATCTCATGCTGGTAGAATCTGGCCAGACTCATTCCAGCAACATTGAAAATGAGGAATGGGAAGAGCAGAGAGAAGTAAAGAAAGAGGAGATGGCTTCAACCACAGAGAAAATGGAACAAAAGGAATCTGAGTCCCAGGGGAAGTCAAACTCGCCACAAAATCCAGATTCTTCAAGTAAGTCACGTCATAGAGCTTTGCAGAATGGAGAAAGTCTGAAATTAGAGTGATACTGCCTTTATCCTTAACCTTTTCCAGTTTGCACAGCAATGCCAAATTGAGGGATCTGTTTAGAATTCTTTAAAATAGTTACTTTGCAGTGACTTGGAAACTAGAAAACAAATACGTTTCAAGGAAGCCTGAAAATATTTCTGAGTGTTTTCTGCTTTATTGAAATAATGGTAGCTGACATTTATTGAATGTTCTCTATGTGTGGAAGCACTCTTTGCATGTATTACTTTATACCTGTTATCTCACTTAATATTACTTTCACAGGGCGTAGTGGTTAAGGTGCTGGACTCCCACATGGCTGACTATGGTTTGAATCCCAGCTCTGAAAGCTTGAAACTCACATGGGGTGCTTGTGTGTACGTGCATGCGTGCCCAAAATCCTGGGAGGAGAATGAAAGAGAAGGGATTGCAGCGTGGCCACCCCCTAAGGGATTATTTTTCACATTTCTTCTCTGTTTCTCTCCAGAAAGCACACAGGCCCTATGGCAAAACCTAAAACAAAAACTACTTTTACATATATTAACTTAGTCCTCACTACAAGCTTGGTAAGTTGTTACCAGTATTATTCTCATTTTACACATGAGAAAACTGAAGCCTAGGGAGATTGAGTAATTTTTTTGTTAAAGTTAATTTATAGTGGCCAGCGGATGGTGTCGCAGTTACATCGCTGGACTCATACATGGTTGTCCACAGTTTGAGTACTGTGCCCGACGGCTTCAAAATCAGCCAGTGCTTGTTTGTGTGTGTGCCCAAGATCCGTAGGAGAATGGAGGCAAAGAGATTGTGGTGTGGCCATAGGTTGATTTCTCACCTTCCCTCTCATTGTCTCTGTCTCTCTCTCTCTCTCTTTGGTGAATGCAAGCACCCTAAGGCAAAGACCTTTTTTTAAAAAAAATTCATTTATTTATTTCTTCTGAGAGACACAGACACAGGGACACAGAGAGAGAGGGAGACTCCCAACAGGGTCTTCACGTTCCTTTGATTCCAGTCAGGATCATGGCACTCACGTGTGTATGCCCTGAGTGTACAGGGAAACCTCGGGGTGTGAACCTGGGATTTCTGCATGTGGCTTCAGCATTGCAGAGCAGTGTGTTATCATAACACCCCTGCAGCTGGCTAAGGTTGAATAATTTGCTATACAGCTTGTATGTGGCAGGGCAGGGGAGCCGAACCAAGGTAGTTTGGCTCCAGAGTCTGTGTTCCAAGGCCCGGAAGTATCCTGAGATGATACCTCATCTGTCAGTAGCTCCAAAGACAGTTTGAATAATTTATAGATCACCAAAACAGGGTATTATACAAGTTCAACTCCTGGCTATATTACTGAGTTTACGTCCTAGCTCTGCTACTTATTATCTATAATTACTTGGCAAAAGTAACTTAACTTCTTTAGATTTCTATAAAATAGGGCTCATAAAAGTACCTTGTTACAGAGTTACCATGAGGATTAAATGAAGAAACCCATGCAGATATTGTCACAGTGATTCATCTGTGGCAGACTTTGGGTAAATGTTTGCTGTTATTATAATTTATTTATCTAGCTAACCTTCCATCTAACCATCTAGCAGTGTTTAGTTTATGTGTGTTATATACACATGCTGTAGCTGTCATTAAAATTCTTATTTATTGATCAAGATTATGATATCTCACCCATTAGAATTAAGCCTTTAAGCAGAAGGTTCCTGAATATCCTTGAATACTTACATGAAAAAAGAAAATGATATAGCCGTGAATTACAGTCTTTTTAGAAAGAGTCACTTCAAGTCTCTCTTTGGGGAGAATTTTTGCCTCTGTAATCTTGCTGGGATGAAGATTCTCAGAGTTTGATTCAGCTGTCCCTGCTGGTTACCCAAGAGATCTCTGTGGAGTCCTCACATTGATTGCATCAGCCTTCTAACTGGAAATGGTTATAATATAACAAGCTTATCAAAGCAGGCCCGAATTTCAGAAAAACAGTGTTTTAAGCAAACTTATGAGTATAAACACCCTCCCCCATGCAAATACAGACAAACATGCAAATATGTCATTTTTCAGCCTTAGAACGTTCAGTTCTCTGCTTTCAGAACCTCTAGCACCTCCCCATGCCTTTTGGTTTCAGTCATATTCAGACTGAGTCCAAGTTCATCAAAACTGGCATTGGCGGTAGAACACTTCAGACCTGGGCATGATGCTGAGGTCCCATTTGATTCTCTCTTATAAGATTCTACGAAATTCTCTTTCTTTAACAATTTTTTAATGCCAGAGGGCACACATGAGAGAGAGTGAAGAGAGGAGAGTACTTCACCAATGAAAATCGGTTATACTGCAATCCTTTTTCCTCCAGTTTTCCATCCCATCAGGATCCTGGATCCTGGGCATGCACATGTGCCTGCCATGTTTTTTAAGCTGTCCAAGCCTGGACTCAAACCCTGGCTGACCATGTGGAATTTGGTTTCCTCTGCCTAATACTTGATCTCTATGCTTTGAGGCTGGCCCTATATTCTGTTTCTTAAAAAGAAAAAAAGGGGACCAGCAGTTAGCATAATGGCTATGTTGCTGGACTCCCATGTAGTCAACCGCAGTTTGTGTCCTGAACCCGGTGGCTTAAAACTCATGCTGGGCATGTGTGCATGCGTGCCCAAGATCCCAAGAGGAGAATGGAGGAGAAGGGTTTGTGGCATGGTCATCCCCCCTAGGGGGTGATTTCTCGCTTTCTGTCTCTCTGTCTTTTTGGCAAGTGCATGTGCCCTGTAGCAAAAACCTTTCAAAGAAAAAAAAAAAGGGATACAGGCTTTTTAAAAAAATACATTCAATGACTGTTTATCATTACAGCTTGCAAAATGAATTTTCCCAACATGAATACACTGTATATTAGTCCAGTTAAAGATATTATCATCAATTGAATTTTCCATTTTTGTGTCCTTTAAATGTTTTGCTTCTTCCTTTTCCCCTTGTTAAAAAACTAAAAGAAAGCCAGTTCTATAACCTAGTGGTTGAGGGAGCTGCATCTCACAAGATCCTCAGCACGGTTCAAATCTCAGTCCCAGAAGATTAAAAAACTCACTGGGTACATGTGTATACCCTAAATCCTGACAAGATAGAGAAAAGGGATTGCAGCATGATCATAACTCACTTAGATGCTTTTTTCTTTTTCTTTTCTTTTTGGAGAGGTTTTTGCTATAGGGTGCATGTGCTCACCAGAGAGACAGAGACAGAAAGCGAGAAATCACCCCCTGGGGGCAATGGCCATGCCACAATCCCTACTCCTCCATTCTCCTCTTGGGATCTTGGGCACACACGCACACGTGCCCGGCATGAGTTTAAGCCACTGAGTCCAGGACTTGAACTGCGGTTGACTACATGAGAGTTCAGCGACATAGCCATTATACCAAATGCTGGTCCCATAGAGATGCTTCTGTCTCTCTGTAGTGGGTGTGTGTGCGTTTTGGAAATTTAAAAAAAAGGTTCAACAATTCAAAGAATCTTAAGTAGACAGACAAAAACTTAGTGTCCACTTTAGTTTCTCATTCTTCACTTCTACTTTCTTTTCTTTTTTTTTTTTTTGGAGAGGTTTTCGCTATAGGGCACATCTGCTCACCAGACAGATAGAGAGACAGACAGACAAAAAGCAAAAAATCCCCCCCCAGGGGGGATGGCCACACCACAATCCTTTCTCCTCCATTCTCCTCTCAGGATCTTGGGCACACATGCACATGCGCCTGGCGTGAGTTTTAAGCCACCGGGTCCGGGACGTGAACCACGGTTGACTACGTGGGAGTCCAGTGACATAGCCATTATGCTAACTGCCGGTTCCTGCACTTCTACTTTCTGATGTAAGCAATAGGGATGCTCAGATATTTTTCCTTTTGTACTATTCTCTATGGTAATATAAGCATATGTAAGTAAATATACACTTACAAAGGCTTTAAAATTAAAGACTAGTTAGCACTGGCTCCATGGCACAGTGGTAATGCATTGCTCAAGAGATGCTGGATCCCGGGACCAGCAGTTAGCATAATGGCTATGTCGCTGGACTCCCAGGTAGTCGACCGCAGTTCGAGTCCCGGACTCAGTGGCTTAAGCTCATGCTGGGCGTGTGTGCGTGCATGCCCAAGATCCCAAGAGGAAAATGGAGGAGAAGGGATTGTGGTGTGGCCATCCCTCCTGGGGGGTGATTTCTTGCTTTCTGTCTCTCTGTCTCTCTGTCTGTCTGGTGAGCGCATGTGCTCTATAGCAAAAACCTCTCCAAAAAAAAGAAAAGAAAAAAAAAAAGATGCTGCATCCTATGTGGTAGTCACAATTTGAACCCCTGGCCTGCTCAGCTTGAAACATTCTGGGTACACTTGGAGTGCCCAAAATTGAAGGCCTAGAGGAAAGGAATTGCTGTATGACCTGACCCTTGTGGAGGGTGCTCCTCTTTCCC